TTAAATAACAACGTAAAACCATGTGTGAACTCTGTGCTGTACTTCTAGCTCCCATTAAGAATCACAGACCAAGGGAAATTGCCAAGGGCTTTGAGACAGGGCGGAATTTTCCTCATTGTGTGGGGAACGTTGACGGAAACCACGGACATATCGAAGCCCTTGCCGATTCTTGAAGCCTGTACTATAACTACAAGGTGCTGTTTATGGGTCTACAAATTTACTTTAACACATATCATGTTTTGGAAGAGCGCATGAAGTGACGTAACATTCGGCTTTTCAGGGTAACCTGCTCTGTAGTGCTGATGGCCGTCGTGGACAGCAAGTCGAGGCTTATGGCCACAGACGCTGGAGCGTATGGCCACCAAAGTGATGGTGGCGTCTTCAAGGCATCAAGGATAGGGCAGTGCCTCAGTCAAGCTGCCTTGAATTGTCCACCACCAAATCTGCTGCCATCTTCCCATGTTATCGCCGCGTCCGTCTTCGTTGGAGACGAGGCATTTCAACTGAGGTTGGACTTTCTGAGGCCCTGTCCTGGTTGATATTTCAGCGATTATCTAAAAATATTCAACTATCGACTGTGTAGAGCGAAGTAACCTTTAGAATTGTTGCACTTGCATTATAATAACAAAAATCACAGTGTTGTCTTTGTCCCATTTCCAGAAGGTGCGTCCAGAACGCATTCGAAATTTTGGCTACTAGATTTTGCATCTTCCGCAGGCCAATCGACCTCCTCCCAGACCACGCCACTGGAGTCGCCCGCGCAGCTTGTGTACTGCACAACTACCTACAAGACGACAAGTTACACATGCTAAATGCCAATGCTGATTGAAGTCGACCACTTCGGCAACATCGTTGATGGCCAGTGGCGCAAGGAGGTCTCTCAACAGACAAACGGGTTGCTCCACCTACCGAGGCTGAGATCACGGCACGTCGACCAATCTGTCCGAAAATGCAACATAGTGGCCACCGCAGTGAGAGACCTGTACCGCAGGTACTTGGTAAAGGAAGCTGCAGTGTCATGGCAAAGGAACCGCGCTGGACTCAATTCCTAAGTAGTGTCAGTGGTACGGTGACAAATCTCGAAGTTTTCAAGTTTTTGTGTGTGAGGATCGTCTGGCCTATTTCCGAGTGGAATAGGGAGCTGAGGCCACCATTACAACAATATTCTGCCGCTGCAAGTTAGCCACTTTTGAACGGGCGCTCTGGTGTGAGACGTCTTCCGTGTGAGGCCCACTAGGACTTTGAACAGAGAAAGTGAAACATCTGTATTGTACCAAAACCGGTGCTACTGGAGGGGGATTAAATTAGGGACTCTTCCTGTTCATGTACGCTCTTAATGTGCTTAACTAGGAGTGGACGTGATTTATACTCTGCCGCCCGTGGGGGAGTGACACAGTCCTCTGAGATCCTTGGTTGGATAAGTGGGACGAGTGTTTTCAGTGCACGTTCTGCAAGATCCTGAGCTGAGGCGCAGTCCTTAAAAGGGAGCCGGAACACTTCTTAAAAAAAAAAATGAGATGGAGCTTGATTCTAGCGTAGTTTTATCCTGTCGATATGAATATCGCGTTCGTTTTCTCCGAAGATGTAACTTAACGCGAGAAAACACGAAAAACACCCGACCCGTCGTGGCGTCATAAGAGGGCCCTTCGGCCGCAAAGCTCGTGTCACTCGAGGGCCGCGCATGCAATCCCTAGCTTGCCAGGTGTATTCCCCCGTACTGGCACAAGTGTTGACATCTTTTTATGCCCTTCTTAAAAAAAAAATAGCAAGAGTACGCGTGCATAGCTGTGGTGGACGCTGCTGGAAGGAAGATCCCGAGAACTCCTTTTATGGCGACACGCTCCTGGAAGGAGGGCCTTCGGTGGTACTCTGAAAAGAATTTTCTGCAACCTCCATGCCCCAAATTATAAAAGAAATAATTTCGATATTCGAGATCCTGGAGGTAAAATGAAGCCGACTTGAATGTGTTTCCTCAAATACAAAACCGCTTCAGCTTCCTTTTAACTTGGTGTGTGAGAGTTATTTCAGTAGTCTCCGGAAGTGTGCGCATTTAGGTGGTTCAGGTAAATCTGCAACGTGCTGGAGGTAATGTAGTGTTGAGAGGGAGTGTGTTTGTACACGCCGAAGAAGCGTAGCATCTGCCCTCTCTGCAGTGTGGAGTGGGCTGTAGGGGGTTACGTGGTTACGACGAAACTATAACACAAGGCACGGCCAGTTTCCTTCTCGTCGTGCCTTGCGTTGTAGCTTCCGGGTCACGTAGGGGTCGATTTCGTCTGGCCATTGACAAGGGGTACTCGGATCGTCGGTGGCGTGCGTAGATGAGTGGGCGGCCTTGCAACACCGGCGCACAATGCAAATATTTGCCTTTTGGCGCCGGTGCACCCCATGACTCCAGCAACGTGTTATGTTCCTCTTTATTCATATTTGATGTCTGCCAAAAAGGTGAGCCTGTACTTGATATTTTTTTTCTTTTGTAATTGCATCTTTTTGGTCTTTTGTTAGTTGTTATCTTTCAACATTTAAAGCCAGCAATAAAAAATTGATTTCTGAATCACCCCTGCATCATGTCATCTCTCTAGTTCATTTCCACCCCGAACCTGTTGCCTGCAAATCAGTCAATTTTTTTTTTGTAGAAAATTGGTTGTGGTGTTTGCCCCTTTTACGGACAAACTGGCGGACACTTTTTGCGGCAGGTATAGCCCAAAGTAGATCGACAGAGTACTGGCTGATTCCCCACAGGGTAAGGTGCTATTTTACTGTTTTCGTTGGACCTACGCTGCCCAATCGGGTCTTTACCAAACACAAAATTCGTTTTATCGGCCGACTTTCATGAAATGAACGACACGCTGGACGTGCAAAACACATTCTGTACTTCCTCAGTGTAGGTCAGCATGAACAAGCTAACGTAAATATTAAGCTTTTTTTTTAATTCAAAACAATATTAGCGATTGCGAACATGACCAAAACACTGAAGATAAAGGAAACGACATAAATAAAAAAACCACAGGTTTTCAGATGCAAAAAAAAAGCCAAAACAATCATGTTAGTGAAGTAATCGCAAACTATGCACAAAACCAAATTGTCACAAGATTTCTATGACAAATGTCACGCGTGGCACGTGTGACATTTGCGTAGGGGACTCATTGAATAGTAGAAAGACCCTTTCTTGAAATCTGTTTGGGGATCTGACAGGAAGGTCTGTCCAGAAACAGAGAATCGCTGATCGGCACTTTGTAATTAAAGCCATTTTACACGCGTGTCGCTCGCGTAGCACGCGTCCAGCGCGTTTACATATCAATTAGTTATTTTCACTATACGTAAAAATGTGAAGCTCGATTTTTATCAAATGGCTTTAATAACAAGGTTCTGTTCAGCGTTTCTCAGTTTCTAGACAGACCTTCGAGTCATCTGCAAACAGATTTGAAGAAAGGATCTTTCTTCTATGCCACGAGTCCCTTACGCAAAGTGATCGAACAGAAGCGTCAATTGTTATCGCCTGCAATTTTACAAAGGAAGCAACCACAACCCTCCCGTGGTACGCAAGCGCCAGTTCGTTTTAATGCCGAACTGAAGCTTACATCCCCCGGGGAAAAAATATTCACTTGGAAGAAGCACATCCGGCGCCCCACCCCCGCAGCGAATTTCGAAGACGACGACGTAGGTGACGCATTTTTTGTATTTTTGATTCCCACGTTGCTATGGCCACCGTGACGTCTTTCACGAGCCGCGTTTGTTTGATTGGCTGTCCGTCCCCTTCGCAAGAGCGGCCGTTCGCAAGGAAAGTTTGGCAAAATACGGAGTTGCGAATTAGTCGAATTCGCACCGCAACTGCGTTGTGCCGCAAGAACGGCGTCGCAATTGCGAAATCGCAGGCAAATTCGCACCATGTGAATCAGGCATAACTTGGTATATATACTAAGTAGCCTATGAGCATTCCATTTCAAGAATAATCTATCCGTTTAATTTTCGTGTCATAACCCCTTTAACAACTTAGCGCAACAAATAAGAGCTTGATGTAACGATTACCATCTTGATATAAACAATTATCGTAGTAGGTGCAACGATAGCTGCTCCGAGGCCGCCATAGTTTGGACAAGTTCTTTGGGCATGTATTGAACACAAGTGGTGCGCCACCGTTCGGCGCTTTCTCGGATTCGACACGAGGTGTTGCTTCACCACTCGGCATGAACTCGCATCCAATCAAACGCTTCGCACAGGAAACGATGCCCAAAGTATGGCGGCCGCCAGTGTTGCTTGACAGACTTTTTCAAAGGGTCTAGTAACACGCTTGCTGTAACAATAAATATTCCTGGCGTAAAAATTAACCGGTGGAAGCACGTAATCGGCGGTTCAATGAATCAACTGCCTTTCAACTCCCGATCCATCTTTCTGGTCGCGAGTATGCGCACAAAACGTGGTCACGTGGTACTGGGTGGACGGTTGGCTGGTCCAGTCAGCGCGTAGCTTCCATTAGCTGGCGCAATCTTGTTCTAAGGTCACAGGCCCGAGTCCCACCAGAGCGACAAACAGAAACAACCGACAAGCCTCAAACATGTGCAGCACACCACGCGAAGGTGACTTTGGCAGGCTCGCAGTCACTCGCGCCACGGCCGCTCGCGCTTAGTTCAGGAGCGCCGAGAGACTGCAAGTCCGCCAAAGGTGCCATCGCGTGCATGCTGCGCGTGCTTGAGGCTTGTCGGTTGTTTCTGTTTGTCGCTCTAGTGGGGCTCGGGCATTAGTGCTATTTGAGCCAACAAGAAATGGCTCGCACGTGATGTCACCGCTCCATGCTGGTCGCTGTGATCGTATACTTGTTCTTGTCGAGAAAAGCACGTTCGGTGGTGAGAAATGTGTAGCTCCTTGAGGTACACGCCCAGCAGCGAAGCCACCGTCATGGCCGCTGACGTGACATTCAGAGCAATCCATGTGTAAGGAAGCGACTGCAGCGACGCTTTGTGCACCGGCCAATAACGGCTTGTTTCCCGTCTTGGGGCATTTAGGAGACAAGGAAGAGTGCGTTCTCCAAATCCGCGCCATCATGAACTTGCCAGTCGTCGGAAAGCACTGCCATTGCCACAGGTCTTGCGTGTACGTGAGTCGCATTGGACAGCAGGGAGACGCACCTTGCAACACCTGCTTTCACTCTGTCTTGTAAACGTCGCCATCTAATCTTTTTTTTTTCTTTTGCAGTAGCATTAAGTACAACAAGGTCGTCACCCGGACGCTGATGCCAGAGGTAACGCATGAAGCATGATAAATACATTTTGAAGCTGCGGCTATCTAATAGACCATTCCGGAAATACGCAACGCCTCATCGTTTCTTCGACGCACTACGGCAATCCAATGTACAGTCACGATCAGAAGTAATTGGAACACGGGAGCAGTGGCCCAACTGCATTGCAGCGCGATCTAGCCACGCTAGTGGGAACTGATAGGAGACTACGCGCATGCGTGTGTGCCGGCGCCAATGGCCTCTCCGCTCCTCTCAACCTATTCCTTTTACCGGCGGTTCGAATCGTTCTTTACCGCCTCTGGGACGCAAAGGTACGTCCCCGATGGCGCTGATAGCAGACAGCGGGCACGCTTCCCGCGCTCTTTAATGTCTATAATATCTTTAATATGCTCTTTAATATCTTATCTTGACACAAATAAAATAAAAACGCTGTTCGTTGCTTGGAATTAATGGTCTTTGTCAACTTTGGGTATGATTTTCTGCAGCTGGCGTTGCTATCTACTCGAGAACAATTTAAAGACCTTTTTTACGAAGCGATGCGTCACGCAGCGTTTGCCGCGTCATTGAACCAGCACCGAACCGCTTTAGAGTAGCTCCGTTTCCTCAGTTCGCGCTCGCGGGGAGCGTCCTCGTAACGCTGACGGACGCTATCAACGCCATCACGGTTGCAGTGCTGTATCTGAGAAGCAGCGAAGGATTATTTGCACCGCCGGTAAATGAAATAGATAGATCTGTGCAGAGGGACTGTCGACGCCGGCAGGTAGGCATGCGCTTAGTCTCCTATCAGTTCTTACAAACGCGGCTAGATCGCGCTGCAATGCAGTTGGGCCACCGCTCCCGTGTTCCAATTACTTCTGGTCGTGGCTGTACGGCGCGTGAAGTACCCACGAATACAAATGAGCAGCTCTTGTTGGTCTAGCGTTTTGCGATTTGAGTGCGCGAAGAAGGCAGGACGATAACAAAGCAGGGTACGCATCGGCCTTGTAATATGTTCGCTTAAAGGCCGGTTCTCATATGCAGCGAAGCGCTGATGTAGCGCTCCTCACGTGCCGTCAGCTACTTATCGTCTGCCATGAGCAACAGTTTTGACGGTGCGATACAAAGCTGGTGAACGCTCCCATCAGCACGCGCTTAGCGCGAGGTAAGCGCTATGCTTGTAGCGCTCCGCTGCATGTGGGAACAGGCCTTTACTTTCCTCGTGTTTTAAACTCGCAGTGGAAAGAGCTCGCACGAGCCGACCCAAGCGTATACGTCAGAGCTGTCCCACAATTCTCCGCGCCGCGGGGTGCAGCCTGGGGTTGACAAAAGGCCTCGTGGAATTGTCCGAAAAGGTCTATGAATCGACAGTGACGCGATGCACACCATTACGGTGTGCTAGAACTACCAGAACACCGTATAGCATCTTGTCGCCTCTCGGCGACACTTCGGGAGAAAGCCACAAACAGGATGCTATTTGAGGTGCGAATTCCGGAATTCGTTCGTAAGACACTGGGAATTAAACTTTTGTCAAGTTGGTCAGAGGTCTACTTCTCGGTCCCTAAGCGAAGCGCAGATACCCGTGAACTGCGTGAGAGTCAACGAAAATACAATGTCAGCGCTTTTTCTTTTCTTTTTTTTTTTTTCCTTTTTTTTATGAGCAGAACGGCAGGAAGATTGTTCGGTTGTTTTATACTTCCAGCGCCAGCTTCGTGTTCTCGTGAGCTTCGAGCTTGGACGCGTGTTTCATTTTTATTGCGAAAGCATTAACTACCCCATGGAGTGGAGCAGGCAGAATCTGTAACCGCAAAAGAACGCGAAAGAAATGCCCATTCTCCCATTGGCTGAGCAAAACCGCTCCTAGATAGCCATTGGCAGCCGCTTCACGAGTCGGCCGCCGCTCTCGTGTCAGGCGTTGCCAGAAAGGGGGATGGGGGGGGGGGGGGGGGGGGGGGTTGCAGCGGCCGCTTTACAAGAGCGCGCGCTCGGCAACCTCGCCAGTAGCGAAACGTGACCGTCCACGCCAGTACACCACAGACGAACTAAAGGCCCTTAAAACCTCTTACAACGAGAGCAGAGCCGTTTATTGAGAGAGTTTGGCCATACATTGGTTTGAATACGCGAGCATCTCGGGGCCCATTACAGGCCGCGAAACAGGCCCTAGCAGTGGTCGTGTGCTCTAAATATGTGACACGACTAATTTAAGTGAAAAATTTAATATGTGACACGACTAATTTAAGTGAAATAGAGTGAAACCAGCAGCAAAGCAGCAGAAACCTAGCAAAGCAACGAAAGTGACACATACACAAAAAATATGCAATGCTTGGTGACTGAAAATTTTGCGCATTTGAGGTGCTCGTCACGCCAATATTCAAGTGTATAGAATAAACGAACGTGCGCTCCAAACCAGGGCCGACTTACTAGAAACGGCGTCTCAGCTGAGACGAAGAAAGGAAGCACTGCCATAGCCAGCGCACGAGCCGAGCGTGACTCCGCGTCTCAAGACGCTTGCGCGCCCCACCCTCTGCACTGTTTTCTTTCAGCGTCTTTTAGACGCTTGCTAGAACAGCGTCTTTTAGACGCTGTTCTAGCAAGCCGGACCAGAGCAAGCTGTCACCGGTCCGATACTAATCTGCACAAACATCAGCAGTGCAGACAAAGGCATGGGCACGAGCGCGTGGCTTTGGAAAGTGCCTCCTATGCACGACTTCTCGTACAAACAAAAGCATTTCGCTGAGCTAGGCTCACGCGCCTGTGCTTTTATCTTTATTGCAGACATTTGTGAGATGGTGTAGAGGGGCCGAAACTGAACGCTTCTATTTCACGCTTTAAATGTCGTTTGCAATATTGTGACGTCGCGGTCTCCTGATTGGTCGACGCTGTGTCGTACCTTTACGCTCTAACCGCGGGGGGAGTTTTCGGCGCTGGCGGCGGCCTTGGCTCCGCCCATTGTCCAAACTCTCCTAATATACGGCTCTGAACGAGAGGACACACTAGCGCCATCTATTCGGTAGCAGTGTAAACTTGGCCGTCCGGCATATTTTCAATTTCTCTCGCCCATTACCCTTTCTTTTTTCGCTCCAAAAACTTTTGTCAACGTTATAAACGAGCCTTTCTTATAGGTATTAGGCACATTTGACCTCGGAAATCCCGCGAAACCTTCGCTCTTGTGAAATGCAGTTCCAGGGCCACCGCATTGATGGCGCCAGAATGCCAGTGTGTTCCCTTCTCCTAAAAAAAAAAAAATTAAGAAGTTTTAACAGATCTCGTCTCTCTCGGCCATACTCGGTTGCAAGAGTGTGAACGGGCCTTCAAGGAGCGGAAGAACGTCATCCATGCTTTCGCATTCACAACTCATAAGAAGTGCTTAGGTGTCCTAGGACGTTTTGTTGTCCTCGTATTTTGCGATCGCGACCGTTTCATCCTCCCCCGCATGGGTGCTGCCATCTTGGAATCACGTGACGCGGCTGCCATTAGGTCGCTTCAACTTGCTGCTCCGCTCTCCCCTCCGTGCCTTGGCGGATGCGATGTATTCGTGTTTTTCGTCGCGTTCCACCGCGCTTTCTTGCCTTACTTCGGAAATTGTAGTCCGATACGTCTACTCGACGACTAAGACATCACGAAGATTTAAAGGTCCTTATGACAACTGAGGTTCGTTTACTATTAGTGGCGGAACATTCACAGTAAGAAGCGTGTATATTTATATCGCGCATTTAGGATCGGAAGGCGTCAAGAATAGTCAGCGCAAGGAGACTATCTGTATTTCCTGAAAGTATCGTTCTTTGTATTAATAGTATGTCGAAAACAGTTTATTTTGATTATGTGAGGAAAATCGCGGAGGAGATAGGCGACGAACGTTTAACTTGTATTTTCTCTGAGACTGGAAGATTTGTTTCTTCATAATATCACACCTACATGTGTATCAGGTTTTCAATCATTTTTTTTGCGACGTAAACATTCGGTTGGTCGGTTTACTTATGAAGTTTAAAAAAAATGCATACCGTGCTAGCTCCCATTTCGACAGTCATTTAAGTGACTTATTGATTATATTTAGATAACCGGTGCCATCCACTTAATTTATTTTAACACAAATGTAGGGACTTCCCGCGTTAGAAACTGCCACAGGCAACTTAACGGTAGCGAGTCTTAGAATAGCGTGCACACAGAAATAACGTCGTTTATATTTGCACATCCAAAACTTTTTTTTTTTTTTTTGCGTACGCTGTTGTACTTTTTGCCATTGTCTAAAATTCGCAATATTTGACGCGAAAAAAAAAAAAGAAGAAAAAAGCCGTTTGCACCACAGTTATTTGAGTCTAGGATTGTCGATGTCGAATAGAGGTTTACTTTTGGTAGCTAGCGACGTCGAAATTTGCAAACCGAATGTGTTCAAACCAATAAATATTCGTTCATACAGGTCCGTGAAGTGGTGCCTAGCGCTAGAATTCAGCCAAACTATCCGAGGTATTTCTCCTACGGCGCCCTTTAATTTTATTTGGCCAATTTTACGGAAGACAGAAATGCCAGATTTAATTTGACGGGCCTGTCACTCATATCTTGAGTAAGCAAATGTTCATATAAAAATAATTTATTTCCTAGGGCCAATATTGCGAAATGCTGCTTATGAGTACCTTTAACACGGTTCATATTCAAGGAATTATGAACCGTGTTACCCCCCATTCACGCTGGAAGCGGATCCGCGTTCGCGAAGCGGTTGCGAACGCGGTTGTATAAAGATCCAGTGCAATTGCACGCGCATTTCATGTCATCAAATGCGCGTGCAATTGTACTGAATCCTTATACAACCGCGTTCGCAACCGCTTTGCGAGCGCGGATCCGCTTCCAGTGTGTATGAGCCCTTAGTCGGCCTGTCAAAACATGCTCGATTACTGAATAAAAAATTTAAAAAAGAGGCCGAGACGACACTATTTGTTTGTATAAATTATCTGCGTCATTACACGATACGATTTTAGTCTGCGAAGTTCACTAAAGGTTGAATGCCCACAAAAACCAAACAGTGAGTAGTAAACTCGCGAGTTCATCTGTTCTGGCCGATTTAGCACATTGCTAATCAAGCTGTCAATGTGATTCTTTACATTCCTGTGTTAATCTCTTCAATACTTTGTTTTTCTGTAAACTGGTGCCATCGGGCACGGCCGTAGACGATGTTAATCTTCCCTGTACATCAGTCGGACGTTTCGCAACCAATTGTAATCAGACACATCAAAGGAGTTCGTAAAAAAAAGCCCACAATTTAGGCTAAAATGCACCTCCTAGTCCTCTAGATGGGTCAGTACCACTTTTCATTGGTTGTGTGCTACAAGGGGAATATTTGTATCATAAAAATTAGCAAAAACAACGTAAAACAGCAACATAGCCGCGTCCACGTTGAAACCGAAACCAACTAAATTAAAGCAACCTAATGGCGCCGAGTGCGTCAGCGCCCTCTATCCGCCGGTGAGGCAACTACTAAAATGAAAAGGTCTATACATCATGAACCAATACCAACTCACCGAATTTTCTCTCCCTTCTGCGTGGCCAAAGCACAAGGGAATACAATTAACACGTGCTGGAGGCAGCGCATGCGAAAGATAATAATTCTGCATTACGCATATTATGTTTAGACAGTCTGAAGTAATACGCCTGTCAGACAACGGTCCAAAGCTTCTCTTCATTAACTATCCTTTCCGCTAAGGGATATTCTGATAAAAGAGCTGCTGTCAGACCGTAGGCAAAATGCTATTTATCACCGATATAGATTCCTTTGGGCCTGGTCACACGAAGATAAAACAAACACTAAAATATATTATTCTAAAATTTTATAATCGTGTAAAACATTACAAGTTAATGCTTCTGTTACGAAAATTTTCAGAAACGTAAATAATTCAAATAATAATGAAAGGTAACGTTCGCGAGAAGCTCGTGTGTCATGGCCAGACACTGACAAGCGCGAAAGTGTTCTAAATTTACAGTGCACTGAATTACTGCCTGCTGACTGAAACCTATAAAGCATTGACTAGTAGTATCTTCCCGTAGTTAAAATATGAAAATTACTTATATCCGGGTTTAATGCTTTATACCAGCCTTAGCAGAAAGAGCAGTGAGCTCGCCGGCGAGTTGTTGAATAGCGGCCGAGACGCAGTGGGAGGAGTAAGAAGGTACAGAAGATCTCTGGCACAGTTTAGGTTCTAATTATCAACGAAAGCCCTTTTCAAGGGTACAGTACCGTCAGGCAACGCCTCAAAAGAAAAATATTGAGGTGAGTCTTTCAAAGTTTTAACTCCAAGAAGCCAAAATGATGCGCCAGCTAGCGCCTATACTCTCGAAAGTGTTTTGTTTGTACTAAAGGACGCTAGCTAGCTTCTTTCTCGAAAAAGGTGAATTAGGGGAAGGAGCACTTGCGGTGACGTGTGGCACGAACTCCTTCTCCTTTTAGGAGATTGCCCTTTTCACAGGAGTATTAGACTGCTTCAATGGGCGACTTGTCTCTCAGCTGTAAATAAGAAATTTAGCCGGTGCAGTACAACCGCACAGTACTGATGCATGATCGCACGCCGACGATTATCCAGATCGAAGCAGGCAGGGGTGGGTTGCGAAGGAGACACATTGCGATGCTTGCTCAAGACATATACAAACACGCGATCGCTCGTTGCTGCTATCCGCCTCCAGAACCGGAAGGAAGGTGGAGGGTGGAATCTTTTTTTTTTTCCGAAGTAAAACAGAGTGCCGGGGCCCTAATGTACACGGCGGTCCTACGCGGGACCTGTGCATCGCCACCTGCTGCAATCGGTCAGCGGTACGGAGCTGACCAATCGCAGCAGGCAGCGATGCCCCGGTCTCTCAGTCTCGTCCTGTATACGACCTGGATGCGCATCGTATCGGCGTGCGGTTGTGTATCGCTACTGCGTGGTGCACGTTAAAGACCCCAGGCTAGCGGTTGTACTGCACTGGCTAGATTACAGCTGTGAGACTCGTCGCCCGTTGAGGCAGCACAAGTTTTAGGCTGTATAAACATACACACAACCCAATTTTTCTCGCCATGTAAATTATAGTCCCAGATGTCACTTATTTGCAGATCAAGTTTTTTTCAAAGAGTGAGAAAGAGATAGAGATAGAAGGTGTTGAATCAACACAGCTGGACATTAACAGAACACTGTGTAATTCGTGTTTTCCCTTTTTTTCTTTTCTTTTTTTCCATGCAAGTCTATTGCGTTTGGTAAAGGCACAAAAAGGTACGTTTTCCCCTTTTCCCGCCAACAACAATTACAAAAAGAAAGGTTACTACTTATACTTATTAGGTACTCCAGCCGGGCAGCCGATGCTAGGAGATGATGGGTGCGACCAATCAGACAGCTTCAAAAGTGCCTCATCATGGTGTTCCTCGTGTTTCTGTATACGAGTTATATCGTCGCTTAACCAATCATAAACAAAAAAGGCCTAGTGACTCGCGCTTTTTTTTTTTTTTTTTTTTTTTTGTAGCGTCGGCTGCGTCACGGATGAAACGGAGTATAATAATAGCGTGAAGTGTGTCACGCGGAAACGCACCGTGGTACGTTTTCCGCGTATACGATTATGGGAAAAACGAGTGGAGCGAATAACGAAACGGAATTTCGACGCAGGTTCCTGAGCCGGGTGGTCCTCTACTTTCAAACCGTCACTTCACAGAACATCAAATCCATTCCCAAATACGACGTGAGTATTTACCACCCTGCGTCGCGAAAGCTATCTCTGCTACGTGCAAAGAAAACACTTAATCGAAGTCTTTTTCCGAAAATTTTGTTAGCATTCGAAAATTTGTTTAAGCAAGAGCAATCCAGCAATCTTATGAAAGATACCGACATAGATCAACAAGGGCAAGATTTTTTCGACAGTTTTTTGCGTTGACACGATTACCTTATATTACTTTTTTAATGTCAGAGCTTTGCCAGTTTAGCATATTTTTGACTACGCACCTGGCAATAACAATTACACTCTTCATCATACTAAATGGTGTATTGCATTTATTGTAAAGCCGGGGTCACGCTGCTTATACATCATACAAAAGACAGTCTGGAAACACGAGTCACCGCGAGATCCGTGCTTCGAATGCCGCATGGCAATGAGTTCAAGGAGGAAACTTGTCAAGCGGCATTCGAAACACGGATATTCCGGTGACTCGTGTTTGCAGACTGTCTTTTGTGTGATGGGTATGAGCATTGTGACTCCGGCTTAACCTTTTCCGCTTACTCTCGCCCCCGACCACCATGTAGGCACATTCGGTATGGGCGACGAAAAAATAGAGAGTTTTAGTAGATCGTTCCGATACCTCCGATAGCCCCGATAACGATACTATGCATGCACAAGGGAGGCGGTGGCGGAGTATCGGGTATCGTTATCGAAGTTCATGGGAACGATCTACTAAAACTCTCTAATGTCAGAACGTTTCAACCTGCAAACAGTAAACAAATAGAGGGGAGGCAAAACGAGAATGCGTGACGGTTACGTTTAGGTCCTAAATGCCTTCTATTGGCGTGTCGACGGCAAAACAATGTTTTCGCCCATACTGGAAGTGACGACAATTCAAGATGGCGGCGCCCTTGCGAAAAAGGTCTATAGGCTCGTTCGATTTGCCTGCACCTCCTGCGCCGGGGCAGAAAAGTGTAAGGCTTTGCACTTCCGGTCGTATCTCAATACATATACCGGAAGTAGACCGCACTACACTTTTTTGAACCGGTGCAAGAGGTGCAAGTAAATCGAACAAGCCTAGTGTACCAACCGCGAAATATGCCTTAGATGACACGAAAAAGTGCCTTCTTCACATTCATGCACACGATACAAGAACAAATATCTGGCAGCTTGAAACTTTATTTTGATATATTTTTAAGATGCATAGCCATACAGCTGCACAATTCATACTGAGCAGCAGAACAATACTGATTTGGTGTGTGTTTTTAGTGCAAAGCAGTTGCAAGTTCAGTTGCAAGATACGCCTCGTCCTGTGTACTTTTTTCTCGGCCCCTGTGTTTTTTTGTTGTTGTTTTTTTTTTGCGTATTTACCACCATACATAAGTACCAACCAGCCCAACTTGATGTGTTAATACTAATTCATGTCAATTTTACCGTATGTAGCAGAAATTTGCATAATAGACTCGTTAATATTTAAATAAAACTGGGTCTCGTTTTGTTGTTGTTTTCTCCGCTTTTTATGCCAAGGGAAAACTTAAAGGGGCACTGACACCCCAAAGGTCGTATTTATTTTTATTGTCTAAAACGATGCAAGTTGTAGTCATAGACACGCAAAAAAAACCGCATCGCGAAAAAAAATTTTCCCGCGCGCGCGCGCGCCTTTTTATTTTTGGCGTTTGATTTTCCCGCCTTTCGCCTCCTCACTTCTTTTGATCGGTGACGTCAAAAATCAGGAAATTTAGAAGCTTTGTAGGCGACATCTCTATAACATTTAATTACGGCAATCTTAAAACATGTTTTTTAACGCAATTGCAAACGCACTACGGCCCTTCTTTTTGAAATACCAAAAATCGGGAGTTCGTTGTGGTGCCGTCTCCTGGATTTGTATCCTCCAACGGAAAACAGGCGACACCGCTCAAAACCGGACCGCCGCAACGCCGGCGCTCGCTCCTATCCTCCTCGCTTTGGGTCGCCATGGCAACAGCAGGGAGTGGTGACAGGAAAGTGGACTCTCAGGTCTCCTCAATTTTTGACGTCAAGGCACCGGCGCCGATCGCGCGGGAACTTCGAATTCGGCATTTGGAAATTGTTTTTTTACTTCACGAATACTGAATTCCCAAATCTCAAATTTTGAGGGTAATGTCCCGGCATCGTTTTCAATCGTTTCGGATAATAAAAAAAAATATGATTTTGATGTGTCAGTGCCCCTTTAAGAAACGTTTCCTGCACCCCCCCCCCCCCCCCCCCCATTTTTTTTTCGATCTCTTTTATTAATGAAGGTCGGTCTGTCTTTGAGGTGCGGCGACACTCGGTCACGCTGCAGATGAGAAACTTTGCCAGTGCAGTACCACCGATTAACGTGCATCACGCAGTGATGCTCTGCCATAAGCAGGTATAAGATGCTCATCCATATCGAAATGGGCAGCGGTGAGCACTGAAACCCAGAGTCCCTTCATTCTACCAGCGCGAGCTTTCTCTCCACGTGCTCCGAGCTGCTGTGCGCTAACACACCCTGCCAGCGATCCCCCGAAGCCCTCGCCCTCAAACGCCAGCAGAGCGCAAAATACCGAGTTTTAGTAGACCGTGTTTCCCGCTCCGCTAAACCCCTTCGCTACCCGGAACTCTACAGCCAAGGCCATCGACGCGCAGGCGCAGTGGCGGTTTCTTCGTAGCGGAGGGCTAGCGGAGCGGGAAACACGGTCTACTAAAACTCCCTAATGAAGGGGCAGTCGTGGAGCGGAATCACGCTTTCATTTTCGGAAATTTTACGAGGAGGCACGTTCGTACCCCCGCGAACAACACGAACTGAACCACCCGATTCAGCCTTTTTCTAAGGTGTGTGGTCCGCGCAAGGACTGTTATCTCTCATTTTCCCGGAACGTTTGAAGTATGTGGGACGGCTCTTTCAAAAACTGGCAGGTGCATTCCAAAAGAAGCACGAAGGACTGTTTCAGATCATATTGTTCGCGATAGTATATACTTCGGGATTCTAGCTCACTCCCCTGTTGCAAAATGGCTCCTTCCGAGTTTGAAATGTCGTCTCAAGTTTACATGATGACCAACTTGCCTGCACTTGAACTGCATTTTTATTAACCGAACTACCTACGATAAAAAGTACGCCCTGCCACGCCCGCATACCAGTTTTCTTCTTCTCGGCGTCTTGTAAGGAGTTTCCTTCATCGGGGTACAGCAGCTGTGCATGGACGCCGCCATAACTGACCTTCAGTTTTTGTTTCCTCTTATTTCGTTTATTTCACTTCATCATTACCATAGCAGGCCAGGCTATTGCCATATTAGACTCAACTGTGTCCTTTTCTAAAGCATCGGCCTTTGTAGAGGATCGTCAAGTACCGTTTCAGTTGCTCGGCATCTCGGTAAGACAAGAGAAGGTCAGCAATGGCGGCTGTAATTTGGCGCGTGTGTTGCGCCGCCATCTTGATTTGACGTCACTTCCAGTATGGCCGAAAACATTATTTTGCCTTTGCTACGCCAATAGAAGGCATTTAGGATATAGGCGTAACCGTCACACTTTCTCGGTTTGCCTCCCGTCTATTTTTTTACAATTTACAGGTTGAAACGTTTGATTATTTTATCGTCGCCCATACCGGATACGCCTATTAGGTGGCTGGAGACGAGAGTAGGCAAATTCAGCGTCCTATCCACCCATGCATCCAAAGTGGTCCCCAAGTGGCAACAAACGACGTCACAGAAGCCGAAGTTTCATGCGGTCGGATCCTTGCGGTCAGTCGCAGAAATTCCGGCAAAAAGCACGGATGGATGGATGTAACGGGCGGTAGCTCTCGCCACTTGGCACGAGCAGGCGCGAGTGTCCCTGTCGATGCGGTGCCCCAGCGTCTGGCTGCCAAAGCTTCCGTGGACTGCAACGCTGGAAGACGACTGCAGCAGAACAGGCGTCTGCCACATACACCGCAGCTATTGGTACGCCGCCAGGATCGCGACTGGCGACAGCATGACACTTCTGTGACGTCATCAGGTGGAAATCGAGGGATCACTTTTTAGACGCGGTAAACCATATCAACTGGCGCTAGTGTCTATGCGACTTCCGGGAGGCAAATCGAAGCAGACAGCAACCAATCTACTTTTGCTATGCTCCTGTGCATTCCTATGGGAAAACGCGCGTGCATTTTGTCTCTTCGCCGGGAAATAACATAAATAACTTTCGTTATTTCGGTTTATTAATATTGTGAAAGTGTATTTGCATCAGTTGCAGTATTTGTCTTTACCGCTGAACGATGTTAAACTTCGCTATATTTCAGGCCCAAACCTCTGTACAATGGCAGGTATGTATGTAAAAGCGAGCGAGGATTCTAAACAAAAATAACGATCGAAAGGAATATAGAGTGTGTTCGAGGTTCGCCAGCATTCCGTTGGCGCTTATATATGGCCAATATGCCCGTCCTGTCATTATATGATAATGACTCCGTCGTACGCAATTTTACGATCGGTTAAAAAAACATTCGAACGTAAAAAATAACGTACGTGGGCTACAAAAGTGTGTCTTTTTAGTATGTCCTATGTCGGACAGTTTTTATCGGGCACCTGTTCTCTGGCTTATCCGTATTTGCAAAGATTTGGAGCGTGCGGGTGATGATTTGAATCCAAAACAAGCATCTTCCCACATATTCATCAGCAGAAAGAATAATACAGTAGTTATTTATTGCAAATCAGACCATATTACGTGGCTTTCAATTTATTTTGATCGTCTGCATGCACAAAGAGTCACTTATCCAGTGTTACTGCGAAGTTCTTGCCGTCTCTCTTGGTTTTCCACACCGGCAACACTGCGAGGACGCAGTGTTGCCGCTAGCGCGTCTTGTAGCGTCTCACAGCGATCGCGACGCTATCACGCAGCGACGCCAAGATGGCCAAGACGGGCGCGTCTGCCACTTTAGACCAGCACCTCCTAGACAGCTTTAAAGCCTACGCGTTATGTCACATGACGTCACGTCTGGGAGACCGACACGGGTGCTGATCGGATGCGAGTACCGCGTCAGCGTTCGCTTGAAACTATGGTAGGAAACGAGGCCCACGCGAACGCTGACGCGGCACTCGTATCCAGTCAGCGCCCGGACCGTTCCCCCGGACGTGACGTCATGTGACGTAACGCGCAGGCTTTAAAGGGATACTACAACGAAATTTCGGCGCGCATTTTTTGGTCCATATGTGTTCAAAGGAGCAGTATCACATCGAACATACCAATATCTTGTTAAAAAGTCTCGAAAAGGAATTTTAAAACGAATTAAACGATTAGCAAAGAGCACCTGGTGGATGTCGATAACGCTTCGCTTGTAATGCCTGTCTAGGAACCTTGACAGCTAGTGACGGTGAGTGTCTCGCCTCCGGCCACGACGAGAGAAGAGGGGAAGGAGGAACTCCCCTCATCCCGAGAATGCCTTTTGTGTGTCGCCAGCAGTAGCTATTGTCCCCCTACAAGGTTATAGAAGATTAACCCGTCACTCAAAATTCGTACAAAAGCAGCTGCTTCGGTGGCTGGAACGACTAGGCCATCCTGTCGACGTCAGCCTCGCCGCAGCTTTGCTCGCCCCGAGACGACCTACGTCACGATTGCGTTGGCTGTCACGTGGTCTCCGCTGGGCCTTCTCCGAGCGCTTGCCAGAGTGGGCCGTTTATAACGAAAAATACAGCCACCAGGATCAAAATACAAACGTGCGATTGTCATTTACGGATATTGTGGATCATATTCAACCTATTTTTGAACACGACGGGAATATTTCCAATTTCGTTGAAGTATCCCTTTAAAGCTGTCTAGGAGGTGCTGTTTGGACAGACGTATCGAGCTTCAGCGTGTGTATGCCTCTTGGGGCGAGTCGGGGAACGCACTAATGATGACGTCAGGCTCAGGACTTGTCGTTCACATGGTATCGGTGTGGCCGGGAATAAAGCGAAGCGATTGGTTCTCCAGGGGCAGCGAATCATCGGCAGCTTCGGAGGCATCAACGGCATGTACCTGGGCGTCTCCTTCTTCATCCTGTTCCTGATGCTGGAAACGCTCGTCAGGGGGCTGGGACTCATGCGTAGGAGCAAACCAGCACAAAAGTCGGAGCGGGAACCCCCTGCGGCGCCCGAAATGCTGCCGGTGGAAAGCGTCCTCGGACGCGATCCAGCTGCGCGCGGTCGAGTCCCCGGTCGCCTCGACTATTCCCAGGGAGGTCGCCAACCGACCCTCCGGTCGCACATGGTGACGGTGCCGCCACGGGCCCGCATGCAGCAGAGACCCCCCCAGCGCTGACAAGTTGGGCAACGATTTAAACAGAGCCTCTAACATACACTCCCCCTCCCCCTTCTCCCCCCCTACATACCCAGGTCGAGTCCAACACACACCATACTTTTCTTCGAAGAGTACATAAGCCCACGGTGTACCACCCAATAGGTCTGCTTCTCTTGACCAGGTGGCGCTGTAACGCCCACGAGACGCGACCACAAAAAAGGCGCCTCCGCTAGCGGTCGCGAGACGCGACCACTTAATGGTGACGTGAAATGGCGTCCTAGCGTCCCATTGTGCACAATCTCTGGGCACAAACTAGCGTCGGTAAGGGTCCCTCAGCGCCTGTCCGCGGGCACTTACAGAGCGTTTGAAAAAACGCAACGTGACGCACAGCGGAAGCGCGACCTAAAAACATCCGACTTTAATCTCCAGGAGCGCTACTCAAAACTTCAGAGCTACACGCTTATGCCCCCCACTCCCCTTTTCCTTCCTCTCTCCAGATTGAAAAACCTAAATAAACTCATAAAACCAGAAATGACCCGATTTATGGATTAGAACGGCGAGTTGGGCTAGTTGGTTGTACATGCTTGAAGTGAGGCGCCTCATCCTGTCTGCTTCTCTCCTTGTGTCCTCGTTGTTTTGGCGCCTCACTTCAAACCGATTTATGGACTTTTGCGAATCCGGCTGAGAACAATGCTGGCATGACAATAGACGAGTGTATATTGGACAATAAAAACGCTCACTCGTGCCGTCGTTCCTGGCCAAATAAGTCTCTGACCGACACGTGTTGCCACTTATCTGTAAATCTAAAAACGGAAAAAAAAAAAAGGTTTTTGTCTTTCTTATTTCCAGAAATAATTTAACAATCCGCGACAGAGCAAACCGACATCGCCTGAGCTTCCTGACGTCATCTCTAAGGACCAGAAAGTCGCATTGCACTGAGCACCAAACTGGCGGCGCCGTTTACTAGAAGATCGGAAAACGGAATGCCGATACTCCAAGCCAGTGGTTCTCAAATGGGGTACGCGAAGGCATCCTAGGGGTCCGCGAAGCTCTGCTTCCCGATAATAAGAGTTGTCTTTTATTAGATTAAGAATAAGCGTTCCAATTTTCGGGTAAGTTTCTTCGTGTATATTTCAGTAAGAGAAGTCTATTTCACACTAACCTTTAGTTATATCTATTCATTAAATCACTATCATGATTAACCAATAATATTTTCTTCCCCTCACCTCGAACGGGGTCCTCCGTCACTCCGCCGATCCACAGGGGGTCCGCGAAGCATAAGTGGTCGAGAAACACTGCTCTAAGCCTAGCGGATTGGCTTTGCCATAGGTATACCCCAAAGCACCAATAGCGTCGTGCTTGTAGAGTGGGTTTCGCTGGCGTTCCAGAGGTATAATCCGAGCGCCTCACGATTTATTTTCAGATCATGGCGTAGGCGAAAAAACCGAACCCCCTTTTTTTTTTTTTTTTTCGCACCACAAAAATAAATTAGACATCTCGGAGAACTCAGACTCCAACAGAACATAGCCCCAGCCATTTGAGCAAGGTGCCAAAGTTTCAGCACCAACCGTTATCTTATTCAAAAGTTATAAGCGATTTTCGAAAACATTTCATTAGAAAAAGTGCAGCCGGCGAAGCTCTCGAATACATGGAGCCCTGTGGCGCCAAAAACCGAAAGCAAGCAAAAATAAGCCCCAGTTTCCCATTGAAAATTTCGCAAAATCACTTATAACTTTTGAATAAAATGGCGGTTGGTGGTGAAACTTTGGCATCTTGCTCGAACGGCTGAGGCTATGTTCTGAGAGTGTTTCAGCTCTCAGAGATGTGTCATTTATTCTTTTGTAGTGCGAAAAACAGGGTTCGGTTTTCTCGCAGGCGCGCTCGGTATTTCAGTACGCTGCGTTGGCCCAGACTTCTGCAAGAACACCAATCACCGCAATTTTGCTTTTCTTGGAAAAGGCAGGCGAGGGAAAGGTGCGATATGAAGGTTTTACAGTGCCTGACCACTTCGACACACGCGTCAGGTGTTTGAAAAACAGCGCGGTTCCGCTCAAAAAGAAAACAAAAGTTTGAATTCCCACCGCCAAAAATAGATGGCGCTACCAGTCCACCGTAAAGCTAGATAAAGTAGTTCAGTTTGGATAACATGGATAGGATCTCTCTGGTCAGGTTCTGCTTGGGTTTAGATTACAACGAGTAGGATTACATGTTTTCGGAAGGAACCGGAACCGAACTGGATACCTCACATTCGCCTGGATAAAGTGCCGAGTCAGGGGTCCCAATATGCAGTTACTGCAGTTTCGTCATAGTCTAAACCAGGGGTCTTCACACTTATTGGTTAAACGAGCCACGAAACAATATCGGGTTAGAATGTTCATGACTTTGCGGAGGCGTACTGGTCCTAGTCTGGCCCTAGTATACTCGCAGAGACCGCCACTGATTCAGAAGCTTACTTGTTGCGGTGAAGTCGCAAAGATAAAAGGAGACTATTTCTTTTAGTGTTGCTTTCGCAATGCTAGATGGCGTAATTGTGGGATTGAAATGGAAAAACAAATTGGTTTGTGTATGTTTATACAGCCTTAAGTTAATCTGCCTCAACGGGTCACTTGTCTCTCAGCTGTGCGCAGCGGAGAAACTGAATTTGTTCATATGTGACGTGGCACAAAGTTATGTGACGTAATTTTCCCCGCTAAATTTAGCGGGGAAACTGAATTGGTGTTGATGTCACGAGGCGTCAATTTTTCATCTAAATTTAGCGGGGAAACTGTGGGAGGAGGGGAGGGTGTGGAGGAGGAGGAGGAGCGGGTATGGAAGATGGGAGGGTGCGCAGGAGGCAGGAGGGGATTGTAAAAAGGAGAGGGAGGTGTTACGAGGTAGTAATAAAGACCGAGACAGGCCACGTCCGATGGTGTTCCAGGCGCATGCTGAACTGCTCGCGCCACCGGCGCCCGTGCATTGCACCTCTTTAATTTCTAACGCGCGTGTGTGTCAACGGTGCTTGCTTTTGTATATAGCAATCGTAACACTCCTTCACCCCAGATCGTTGTTCAGAGAGAATAACGACGCACTGTTTTTTTTGTGCGCGTTGATCTGCTTAGAACAGGAGAGTCTTTTGTAGCGATCGAACTCTCGACACGTGTTTGTGGAGGCAACGGCGGTGGCGTTGATGTTCTAGCCTCTGGTGGTTCATTTACTTGCACCACTGTTCCTGCGTTGGCTGGTGGTTGTTCAGCAATTGAAGTGAGTCCATTTCTTTCTGCAACTCAGGTGTGACCGGTGGGAACCTGTCGTCAAGCCTGATATGGTCGCCGTGTCTGAGCCAGTTGGTTCCGTCTTCCAGTTGTACTTCGACGGACGATGAACTTGTCGGTCTGATAACAGTGGCTGGCAACCCCGATGAACCAGGCCTGGAATTCTTTATAATGACGCTAAAGTCAGGCCTCGGCAATTCAGTACGACGTGCTCCTTTGTCCTGGTGTAGCTTCTGCTTCAGTTGTTTTACAACAACATCTTTCCTAAGGTCCGGACGCAGCGCTTTGAAAGGGGTTCTCAGCACCCTTCCCATGACTAGTTCTGCAGGCGATCGACCTGTCAGGTCATGAGGTGTCCGGTACTGAAAAAGTAACCTGGCGATCTTGGTCTGAAAGTCGCCGGGGTCAGCCTTCTTCAACTTATTTTTTACTAACTGAACTACACGTTCAGCAGCACCGTTTGATGCGGGATGGTACGGTGGTACCTTGATACCCCGGATCTGATTCCTTCTGAGGAACTCCAGGAATTTCGCACCCGTAAAGCTGTTCCGTTGTCAGATACGATAATATCTGGTATTCCATGAGTTGAAAAAATGGTCCTTAAGCAAGTTATAGTTGTTTCTGAAGATGGAGAAGACACAGGCATGACCTCAACCCACTTGGAGAAAGCGTCCACTACGACCAAGAAGTAATGACCTTGGAAAGGTCCACCGAAATCAACGTGCAGTCTGGACCACGGTTTTTCTGGAAAGGACCAAGGTGTTGACTGCACTGGTCGACGTAAGTGCTGATGTTCCTGACTAGTCGCACAGGACTTCACCTTGTATGTGATGTCTTCATCTATGTTAGGCCACCATACGTGACTTCGGGCGATAGTTTTCATCTTTTCAATGCCCAGGTGACATTCGTGAATGAGCTTCAGGACTTCCTGTCGAAGAGACGCGGGAATCACGACTCTGGTTCCCCAGAGCACGGAGTCTTCTTGTAGACTGAGCTCGTGCTCTCGAACTTTGTAGGGCATCCATTCGGCCTCCCGAGGGAGGCTGCCACCTTCCAACGAGATGTCATGAAGCCTCGACAAGAGAGGATCCCTCTTTGAAGCCTGAGCTACTACGGCTGACGACAGCACTCGAGGGTAGCACCCTTCCAACATGAAGATGTCGGCTGGCGGCTCCACGGTGATGTGCTTGCTTTTTTAATGGCAATCTGCTCAATCCATCTGCGTGTCCAATTGTCTTGCCGGGGCGGTAGACTAAGGCGTAATCGTACGCAGATAACATGAGGGCCCAACGAACCACTCTCGGAGAGCTTCGATCAGGGATGGCCTTGTTTGGGCCAAGAAGTACAAGCAGCGGCTTATGGTCTGTTACTGCTTCAAAGTGCCTTCCCCAGAGGTATTCACGGAACTTAGTTACGCCGAAGATTAAGGGCAACGCCTCTCTGTCCAGTTAGCAGTAATTCTTTTCGGCTGGCTGTAGGCTCCTGGATGCGAACGCGATAGGACGCTCCACCCCTTGGGCATTGCAGTGGGCCAAAACAGCTCCCAGACCAAATGGGGACGCGTCACAAGTAAGTGTAAGGTCCTCCTTTGGGTTATAATCGACCAACACGCTGGCCGAAGTCAAAAGTTTCTTTGTTTCAGTGAACGAAGTTTCTTGTTCATCTTTCCAGCACCATGGTGTTGCGCTTGCCAGTAGGTGATGCAAGGGATGCAGGACAGAGTTTAGGCTCGGGATAAACTTCCTGTAGTAGTTAACCAAGCCGAGGAAACTTTGTAGTTCCTCGACGTTGTTTGGTGCAGGAGCCTTTAGGACTGCTTCGACTTTGCCTGGAGCAGGGTGCAGCCCTTCTGCGTCGATGATGTGGCCCAGGTATTCGACAGCGTCCATCATGAATTTGCACTCAGTGAATTTCAGCTTGATTCCCCTATCTGACATTTGCTGGAATACCTTAGCGAGGTTGTTGAGATGATCCTTGTCATCCGTTCCCGTCACCAGAATGGCATCGAAATAGACGACGATATGGTTGAGACCTTGGAACAGGGTTTCCATCTCCCTCTGGAAGATTGGTGGTGCCGAAGAGATCCCAAATGGTAACCTCTTGTACTCAAAAAGTCCTTTGGGAGTGTTAATTGTGGTGTATTTTCGTAAAGTTGGATCGATGACCAACTGCTGGTAGGCGTCCTTCAAGTAAAGCTTGGTTGCAGACGCACGTTGCCTAGAGCTTGCGCTTTTCGTGTCTGGTCATCTGGGCATTCATTGCCGCGACTGTGGTTTACCCGACCTCCAACGGCGTGAGGTTGTTAAGCGTCATAGGGACCAGCTTACTCGGGAAATTCTATGCGGAGGGCAAGTTCGTCTGCTTCTTGCGCAGGGGGTAGAGGTGACGTCAGAACGCCGAGCCCTGATTGGCTGATCGCGACCCCCCTATCTGAGCGTCGTCTGCTCCTTTGCAACGTCGTCTGCGTCTGCCTTACCTTTCCTGCGACTTTCGGAAGTGCAGAGGCCAGATTCAAGAAACGACCTAACGCCCAAAATGTGCGTAAGACAAAACGTTAGAACAAATTCGTATTCAAGAAACGAAATTTTTGTAAGTTTTGCGCAGGTTACGACGAAATCCTACGACAGCTCAGAAGCTGTCTGACGCACTTCTTACGATCAAATCAGCATGGCCGACAGCGTCGCGGTCGCGACGACCCACGGAAGTTTATTTTTCTACGTGCGCTTCTCACGCGTCCCGACTTCAAGCAGCAAGAAAACAGTAAAAAGTACTTGAAACAGACTACGACGAACAAGAACGCTGGATCCACAAACACCCGGGAAAAGCTCCAACGTCCATGATTCCTCCGAAAGCGACCAAGCGAGCACGGCAGTTAGGCCTTGCAGGCACTCCGCGACTCGACGGTCGTCTGCCTACGACCGGCTGGCGTGCTGAACGGAATATGCCCGCGCGACCCTTGTGAACCCTTCCCGTATTATACTTTGATCGCTGACCTCAGTTTTAGATTAAGAGGCCAATTTCTTCTGCTTGTTATCTCCTTGTTTCCCGAGGCAACGGTGACTCTCGCCGGTGAAAAAGCGGTGAATCTCCAACAGACGCAGGAAAGGTAAAGCAGCCATCGCTTTGACTAACAGACGTAAAGCAGCCGACCCGCCGGCGCCGCTAAAGAATGAGGGGTCTCGCCGCTCACGAAAGGAGGGAAAAAGTATTTGGAAGGAAACTTGCGGACACAACACGGCTGTAACACGCTCACTCTCGGTTCTTAGCAAATAAACCTCGGCGCCTCGGGACACCTCGCCAGTGAGTCCTTTGATTTCCCTCCTTGATGCGCGTCTGCTAGTTGTTAGGCAAAAACAACGTACCGCTCGAGTTATTTCGTCTGCCCTCTCTGAAAGGCGAAGACGAGCTCGCTCGTAAAGACCTGCACTTTCGAAAGTCGCAGGAGAGGTAAGGCAGACGCAGACGACGTTGCGAGCAGACGACGTTGCAAAGGAGCAGACGACGCTGAGATAGGGGGTCGCGATCAGCCAATCAGGGCTCGGTGTTTTGACGTCACCGCTACTTCCTTTCTCATGCGCAGAAGACGAAAATGAGCCCACTTGCGAGGCGTATAGTTTGTCTCATCCTACGATGGACTAAAGGCCAAAGCCACGGGCCGCAGGTCCAATCACGTTCCACGCTATACTATGACGCGCTTAACATTGATTAGGAGTGGACGAATAATGCTCGAATCCAAAAGCACCGCATCCTTTCTATAGCTTCGACGCTGCAAAGAGCCTATATTTCGTTGCATTCTTTGCGATGTAAAATTGTTGAGTCACTCAGTGCACTTTTATTCGAACCATTGTCCACCCGTCCCCTCATCAGTGATCCGAGACGCAGGCACCGATACGCCGATACCCGTGCACCGAAGCGAAATACCACACAATTTCAAAGTGTCTCGTGATTGGACCTGGCGGTCCGTAGCTTTTACGTTTAGTCCATCGTAGGGTGAGACGAAGTATAGAGGCTGTTGAGATAGCGAGGTTGGGTGCAGCATGTGTAAGCAGTCCTTCTGTGGCCCTATCAGGCAAAGAGATGAATTTTCTGGTTCCCTGACTTGCTCGTTTTTTAGCACCTACTCTGTACGGCTGTGTCATGGCGCATTTTTTTATGTAGATGTATTTTTATCATTGTTTATTTTTATTGGTGATGCATCACATGGGCTGAATTCTCTCTTCTGTTTTGTTCGTGACACCGCAAATATATATTGCGATTTTGCGTTCAATAAACTCAGTTGTAAGTCAGCGCTACGTCCGTATCACTTCTTTGTCTTGTCCTCGTCTTTTCGCGCTGTTTTTAATTCCGAAATAATGCTGACGATTTGCAATGGTTGCGAAAGAGGACACAAAGCGCAATGTATACGAGAACGCGATATAATTTTAACATAGTTACTCAGACATGAAGAAGGGGGCTCAGAATGGTAAAGACAGCGATGGCAATGTTGAATCATAATATGGTGAGAGTCAATTTACTGGTATAGATAAGAGCTTTTGACAAGTAGCGAAATTCAGTGAAGCGCCGACTGCGTGACGGAGCAGGTTTTAGGAAGCAAAAGGCGGCGCACAGCAGAAGACTGAACTGAATGACGCCATCTTGTTATAGTGGAATGTGCTTTGTCATTGGTATTTGTTGTCGTTACTTCACTCTCAAGAAAAAAGGGTGTATCGTTACGCCCTTTGTCCCATATAATACACCCCAAAACTTCATTTCGACGTACAAAGCCCTATAGTCGAACAGACGGCCCCAAATTTTACGAAGGGCTTGATAGCCGTGTGGTACAACTTATGAAAATAGCTAAAGTACGCATCAAAGACCACAAAAAGAAAACACCGAGTTTTTACAGTAGAACCAAAAAAAAGCCCAATTTTTTTTTTTTAACAGTAAAACGTACATTAGCTATTTTAATAAGTTGTACCACACGGCTATCAAGCCCCTCGTAAAATTTCGAGCAGTCTGTTCAACTGTAGGGCGCTGTACGTCGAATTGAAGTTTTGGGGTGTATTATATGGGACAAAGGGTGTAACGGTACACCCTTTTTTCTTGAGAGTGTTGTAGAAAGAAGTGTCAAGAGACTCTAGGTGATAGTACCCGTGTTACGACGCAGTTTCTTTCGTTCTTTTTCGTATCTTAGTTTGCACATTTAGAGCGCGTCGCCGCCACCGTTTCTTCACGCGCACTCCTTTTTGCGCCGCAAGCAGCGGGTGCAGGAAGCCGGCCGCAGGCCCGGCTTCAGTAGAAAAACTGCGGCCAGCCGCGGGCCGGGGTTTGGAGACCAATGAATCCTAAACCCTGACGCGAGGAAAAATAATATAAAATAAGCCAATTTCGGACCAATGACAAAAGGAGGACAACAGGTCAATGCGGAATTTGCTAAACGTTTCACAGTTCCGGGTGCGAGTGTGAACCATACGGTCGGTTCTTACAAGGCAGCGGAAGCTGGGGCATGCAGCTGAAGCTTTTATATTCTCTTCCTTCGAACTGGGCGGCTAGGTGGCCACAATGCTTTATTATCGCATCTGCATCTGCAAGAAGGTTTTTTGCTGTGAAGCCGTGATGAAAGAAAAACGAAAACTTACGTCTGCGTCTCTGTATTTTTGTCTCACTTACCTTCATTTCGTTATACTTTTATTTATTCTTAGACGTAAGAAGATAATTAAATTAAGCTCCGAATTTTGAAATAACTGGGAGTTTAACAAAATTGAAAATACACCAAACACCAAATTTTTGATCAAAAAGTACTCCCGGAAACCCCTCCAAATTTTACGAAAAAATGAATACTGAAAACACGGAGCGAAAGAAAGGAAGAAAGAGTAGGAAAGAAGGAGAGAGGAAAGGGGGAGGGCGAGCCAGGCCAGGCAGGCTGGCACCACGAACGCCACCAACGCGACAATGGAAAAAAATCCCCTTTCCATCAGCCGCAGAACGGTGCATGGTGGCACAAAAGGCGGATAAAACCGGCAGCTGTAGAGCCCAGGGCGTTTACAGGCCGAATCCTCTGGAAGGAGGCTTCCGATCGCCGGATGCTCTCTTCGGGGGAGCCATGCAAAAGAGGGGAAATGGGGAAGAGCGAGGGTTGGGGGGTGGGGGGATAAAGCACGAGAGTTTGGGAGGGATCGGCGGATCGGCTCACAAGGAGGCCTTCGCCTCCTGTGTTCGCTTCCGGACCGGAGGGATCTGGCCGAACTGCAGCTGTTCGTAGGCCGAGCTTTGTCGCCGAAGTGACAGTCGTTCGGCGAGTGAAGAGAGCAGGAGGTGGCGAACACTGCACGCCTGTACCGCGCAATGTTCGACGTCGCAAGGCGACCACCGGCCCTGACAGGATTTGACGGGGCGCCGACGAGCGAACCATGAAACGCCGGGACTCTCGACCCTTCTCATCGCAAATGGTCACCGCCCGTCCACGGTCAGTGCAACAGCCGCCGTTAACTTCGGCTGGAGCATTGTCAACAAGATCTTCCTGAGAATCGAGTCAACCGAGCATCACCCGAACCGGCACAAGGAACCAACTCAACCGCACAGCTGTCACAACAACGGCGCGCAGCATGCTCCGCGTTCTGCGAGCCAATCGCCGTGCGCGACGGTTTCTCATGAGCGCACTCGCGTTCACCCTACTCTTTGCCTGCCGCGCCGACCGAGGCGTCGCTGTGCGGAAGGCGCGGCGGGACAGGGACTCCCAGATGACGTCACGGCCGACGTCACCCTTGACGTCATCAACGATTGCTCCTGCTCCCCCTTCCCACCATTCCTTCCCGTCAACGGCGAGCGGAGAGGGTCGGCAAGCGTTGCGGAGTTCGGACGGCATCTTTCGCGTCGTCGGTGCGGTCGGAGTCGTAGGAATGGTGCGTGCGGGCGTCCAAGACCAACAGGATGCCGTCGCCTGGCAGAGCCAGGCCCTCACTGTGGTCGGCCTTCTGGGCCTGGCAGTGTTCGCGGCCATCGTAGCGGTCGTCGGAAGGAAGCTGTACCGCTCGCGGAGGGACCAGCGAAGTGGTAAGTTCGTGTCCATGTTTGGTCTCGGGGAGCCTTACACAACACGGGATTCCTTCTGGCGTTGTCACGCCAATCCCGATGTTCTAGCTCGGTTAAGCTTCTACGAATGATTCCAGTTCGAAATTTCGTCGGGCACGGAATGAGGGCAACGGGGGATTTCAGTCAATCTGATTAGAGCAGCGACCGACGTTTCGAGGTCATCAGCGATGCGTGGTACGGTTATGAAGCTTTCGTTTCCTCGTGAACTTCTGCATGTAAGTTTAGAAAACGACGCTTCGTTGGTGTTTCTGGCACTATTTCGGGGAGAAGCCAAAGGCCAGCGTTGTGAGATAGAGCGTCTTGAGAAGCGAACGCCCGCGCGGTGCCGGGGCTACGGCGTGAGAGTTGGATTTTCCCACGGCATCGTGTGTACACCTTTCTGGCGAGCGCGAAAAACTCGTTTTGGGACAACCGTCGACGCTCGCGCTGGACCCGATGGAGGACGGGCCGCAACCAATGCCTGTCCACGCCTAGAAGTGCGTAAGAACACCGAAGCGGGCCAACAGACTTCGTAAAATGCAAAAATGGGCGCCTGCGGTTCGACCGGAACGATTCTTTGTCACGCACCCGTGGACGGGCTTGCGGATGTTGTCCAGCGCGACCGCCTGCATTTCTTGTTCTCGAGGGACCAATTTCTGATTTGTTTCGCGTGGTTTCGGACCGCATGCGGCAAACAGCTGTGTAGTTCACGGACAAGTTCGACGGTGCCCTAGTGAATCCACGAAAAGGTGGAGACAGCTCTACATCTCGCTCAAGCTTTTCATTGCATGCGTGTTTAACCTCTTCCACTTCCCTCTAGTGTGCGAACTATGATTATCAGAAAACGTGTGTGAAGTGGATGGTTATTCAGTGTGCGGGTATTCTAATCATTTGATGTCCAAATGTTGTGAATCCGACGGTTTACAAAGTATAAAAAAGTAACAGCGCGCGAGTCTTACAACGGGGAACATGCACTAAATTTCGACCTGTCTTTACACCCTCAATTTTCTTTTTAGGCAGTGATGTTAGGAGGTTATTCAATCAATATTTTTCTACAGCTTCACGCATATTTTTAATAAAATAAAGAAAACGCAACTGCTGGGGAGGACAAAATATGGAGTGTGTTGCCCAAAGTCACGTGGCTGTGCCACTTTTTTTTATTGTTCATTCAACATATATATATTTTTTTTAAATATTGAGTGTGTGTCTTTGATGATTGTGCAAGATTTTGATTATCTTTAGTGGTTGTGTCTAAATTATAGAAGACGGCACGTGACCTCAAAAGAGTGAGCGCGACTCAAACCGGCCAGTTCTCGATCGGCGGTTTTCGGGCGGAAAGAAATTGTGTCGTGAACAAATAAAAACCTAGGCGAGCATAAATACCCTGCCCCTTTAAACCCCGGTCGCACTGCTGATAAGTCGTACAAACGAGTCTGAAGCGTTTCTTGTTTGACGATAAGACTGCCTCCCAACGTATTCCAAGAATACATGAAGCAACATGCTTGAGCACTTGTCCGCGGGTTCGTGCAGGTTTACCAATAGATACTTATTTGACCTCTGCCTCTAGCTGATACACCAGATGAACCCAGCTTACCTAATTCTCGCGAAAAACAAAAATTGTTCGACGAACAACAGTGTTTCCATAGCTACCGAAGTCGTCAAGGGAGGGCGGGTCTACTTTGACTTGTTTTCCAGTGTGAAAGTAACAAGGGGCGTGAATGTTCATAAAGCTCGCGCCATGGACAAAACGAACCAAGGACCAAACGGAAGGAGGCGATACAAAAACGGTTTTGACAGCTACGGCCTTGCCGGGGATCAACGTGTTTTCAAAACTTCTCGAGGACACCAAGGTTATTCCCTCCTCTGAACCGGAACTGTTTGAGCGGGACGTACAGTCCAGACTACAGTCGGGTATTTATCTCTTGTCTCTTCAGTAGTGTAAAAGAGACGACCAAGGGTGAAAAAAGAAAAGAGGGAGAGAGAAAGAGATAACAAAAAGATTCTGATGAAGCACTAGACCGATCTCACAAGGAGTTGCACGACGCCACCGCTGCCGCGGTGCATTCTGGTACCTGTAGTTCTCCCCAGTCTTCTGGCCGCGTCAAGGCGCGTTGTACGTCCGGCGTTTGGGAATTTTCAGGTTAGCACGAAACTTTTAGTCGGCTTTTTACTCACGGTTTTTAATGGGTGTCTTCACCCGTTCTGTGTCAAGGTGCTACAATAACAGCACCAGGCAAAAAGGTATCGGATTTTATGTCTTCCCGGAAGAAAGCAGCCCACGAAAAGAGTGTCTAAAACAGGTAAAGAGAGCGGTAGAAGAGCGGCAGGAAAAAGCGTTTTTAGATTTGTTTCGTTATTTGATTCATAATTTATATTCACCCCATTGCACGATAACTAAAGAGTGTAAGCTTACTCAGGGCATGAGACGTAGTAGGGCGTACCAAAGTGTTCCGTACGTTGGAATCTTTCAGAGCACTCGCTCCGTAGCGGTATATCGGAACTTCCACACTGCCTTGCGGCGACCGTTTTTAATACAATGTTTGGTTGATGCATTTTGATGGTTACAACTGTTATTGATACGACATGTTTTGAGCACAACTGTGCTTCAAAAGATCAGTACAATCACCGAAGAAAGAGCAGCGATTCTCGGTATGTATATATATATAACTTGAAATAAAACAACTTTTTCAATATCAGACTTATTTTTTTTTTTTTTTAGTGGGCTATTATGCCACAATCTGATTTTGCTGGCGTTACTGATCCATTCTGTATTAACACCAATCGACACAGCGGAAAAAAAGCATACCCCGTCGGTCAGCTCTTACCGTTCGGAGCTTGAGCAAACTAAATAAAATTGAATAGAAACTGTACACAAGAGCTCATCTCTACCCGAAGTTCTCAGGCATCTCTCATGGTTACGTTTCATTTTGACAAATGCGAGTTGTTACGGCTCGTCAGGCACGTTCTTTTTGTAGATCGTTTCTTTGTGTGCACGCTTCCCCCCGCAGTTCATATGTACCCTGTCGCAAAGGCTCTCAACCAGAATAGAACGAGTTTTAGAAAACTATTGCTCTCCTAGAGTGTCTATTGAGCTCGTCTTACTTCATTGTCGTATAAAAGTTATGCCCAAGCCTGCGCACAACATAGCTCAGTGTTTCACCGACACGTTTGACGCTGTTCCGCGGTGCTACACCGAGCCGATGGTCCCTCGAATTTCGTGCTCTTTCACGTTGAGGTAGATATTCACTTGCTTCCAAGTTTATTGAGACGTAGGAGCACCCGGAGTGCTCGAGGGAGAAGGGGCCTCGTTGTTTTTGCCGCTGTTGCAGTAAGACCACAGCGTGAACGCAGTGGGTTCACGCGCGTTCACGAAGGCGAAGAAGCCGACGACGACGAAGCAGACGACAAAGCGATTCTAAAGCGATAAGACGACTGAAACTTTTTTTGCGCCTGATGACAAACTAAGACATCACACACAACACAATCTTATAAAGTACTGATATGCAGGAGAATTCAAGCTCACACCAGGGCTTCCCAAACTATGATGTACGCCCACATGAGCCCTTTTCAGCCGGGAAGCCGGGGAGCGATGACTACAAGAAGCATGGCGGCGGCAATACTTCCGGAATGCGCGCGCCTGCGCAGTTCGCTTGGTGGTATCGGCGCTCTCGAGTATCACGACCGTAATATCTGGAGAGATATGACGGTAGTAATATCTATATCTGCTTGTTTTTTCGGCTTGCTTTGCTTTATTTTATAAACACCGAAAGATAGCCCACTTCTTAATCGTAGTGTTTGAATCTATGATGGCTTCGACGCTAATGCGGCTAACCATAAAGCAGGAAACAAAAAAAAAAAAAAAAAATGACGGACAGACCTTGCTCCAAGGTTACCATGTCTTTTAACTAGCTCGCCTGCCTGCTTACTTCAACCTAGTTATGGCGGCATATAAGCAGCACCTTGCTGTCTGGGAAGTAGTCATCTTTGCTTAACTGCCCCTCGCCGCAGTAAAAAGTTTGGCAGTGACACATATTCTAAAATTAGCAATTTTTTTCAACTTTTCTTTATCGCACACATCGCACATTAAAGAGCGCACTCTTTATTTTCATTCGATTTTAGGTGATTTATCTCGGTTCATTACAGTAACTATCCTGGGCTCTTTTTTTCTAGCTTTCTTTTTTTTTTTTTTTATGTGCAGCGTTGCACGCGGTACGAATTATGGGATTCGTTACTCTTTCCCCAAAACACCTAAACGAAAGTCTATTTCTGTTTTAGCGTCGTCCGAATAGCCTGCGCTGAGTTTCCCCATTCCGGTTTCTTTCATTCGCCCGTCTTGCTAACCCAGAGGAGAATATGCGGGGCAAGGAACAAAGTTATCCTCTCTGACAGCAACGTGCACGTTTGGGTTCCTTTTCGCCCACAACGTGCACACATACGGTACCTCCAAGCAGGAGCATTCAACAAAACAGTACACCTACTGTCGGCAGTCGCGAGCGAAGGACCCGGAATGAGCAGAACGAACTAATAATAATAATAATAATAATAATAATAATAATAATACTTTACTTGTACTCAGTAGGGGCTACTAAGGCTCAAAGGGTCACAGAACGAAATCAATGCTGCGCATCCTGGAATGGCTTGTGTACCCAACCTGGGGTCCGTAACTGTCGGATGAGGTGAAATCTTCGTCGAATGACAATTCGTCACACGTCAACTGATCGCAGGGCTATTCGTCACATAGGGCGATTCGTCATAGGGAATTTCATCACTATGACATTTCTTCAAACTATTAACAGACATTTCTTATTTTTGTAGCATTTCTGGTGTTTATCGTTCATAGTTTTTCCAAGAGAGTACAATTACCAGCTACCCCCTCCTCCCTGGATTGAATTATTTCTTTCTCGACAGAAAAAATTCCAGACTTTTACTAACTTCTAATAGACACTGACTAATTATGTCTTGTCCACCAGAATCTTGCACAT